ATTCTTCCAGATAGGATTACACAGACAGAACATTTCGGAAGTAATTTAGTTCTGTTTCTAAGCATTTCTGAAGTTTTTCCTTTTAAAATAAGTTGCCATCATGTAGTATACAAAATCTTGACTTAAACCAACGGGAAAAAATGTGAGCAAATTTCCTTAAGAAATAAAAGAATCTTTATTGTTTTAGAAGCAATGTTGAGTAAACAGACAGGCAAATATCTAAAGAGAGATACGATACATCAACTAGTGGTTTAAACATTTGAGGAAAAAACATGAAAAATATTTACAAGGACCAGTTTCTTTTTACAAATGTTAAACATTAAAAACACCCAAAACCAAATAGGGGGTTACCGTCAAGGTGTAAACCCAATAAAACAAATTCAAAAACTACAAAAGGTACAAAGAACATGTGGCCATAGGAAATAATAGTGTAAATAGCAGAATATAAACTGGCCCATGTAAAATACAAAAATATTCACTGAAGTCAGATTTTCTATAAAACAGTGCTTATTAGAGGTATTTTAATATGAATCAGGCATATAATCTAAACGTGGAAACTTTTAGAAACGTTAACAGCATTAAGCCAGTGCCACTCACTTGTGCTTCCAATTTTTTTTTTTTTTAAAGCTGCTTTGTTTTGACTCATGAGAAATATATAAGGCCCACATTTTTTTAACTTTTAATTTTTATTTTAAAGATGTGAGGGACAACTCAGGGTTAGGTATACAAATATTCATTATGCAGGTACTGTTGTTGATGAAGGCCCACATTCTTATAAGCAGTATCCATTCTCATAAGGTTAACATTTTTACACTAAAACACAGTTTAAATAAAAAATAATTCTAAAAATCAGATTTCTATTTAGTCTTTAATAAGTGTTTCAAGCTGGTAATGCAGCTCAATGTAGCTTTAAGAGAGGGGTTAGTCAGGACTCTGATTTTGAGCAAGAAAGGATTTCAGGCTAAACGGAGAGCAAATTTAAGTGAAAGTATTTACCACTCCAGTATAACTCAAGACAGTTATACACAATCCTATACTAAGTGTGTGTATATGTGTATGTATATTAATGTATTTCATATCAATATTATGAAACCCAGATATTTTTCTCATTTTCTAATGCATGGGAGGCACATAACCTCCCCCCACCAAAAAAAAAAAATCACAGGAACCTTCCATATATGGCTGAATATTAGTGATTTTTTTAATATTTGCTCAGTCATTGCAATACAAAGAAGTTCTCCTAGAAGCAGCAAGAAGTATTTAATATGTTAACCATCAAACTGAAATGATTTGCTTTCTCTTATAAACATTAGGTGGTGCACAGTAAATGGACAATTGGTGCATCTTTCAGAACACAAAACTGAATATGAAGTACATGAATTAATAATGATTCTACCGTAATGAACAATAACAATGTAAGTTTTGATTAGCACAAAACCATTTAAATCTGAAAGCCAAATTAGTAAATGTTGTAGCAATCAATGCAAGCTGGAAACAAAGAACTTTTTAATGGACTAAGTAAAGACCAAGACTTTTGGGTTAGATGCAAGTTATTTTATAAATATAAGTGCACTTCTTTATCTAGGTTCTGGGATATACTAGCATTTCTTCTTTAAGAAAAAGAAAAGAATAAAACTCATTACTACTAATAAGAAATACTGGAAGGCTAAAGAGAAATCTGCCTTAATTTTTGTACTGCATGTACAGGCCAATTTACGGGTACAAAGAACTAATGCCCTTGACTGGCACTGCCTAGCAATTATCTCTAAAGCACCTAAAAAATGGATTGAAATGCCCAGTTGGAATAGTCTTGTATCTTGCAATTTAAAAGATTGAAATATCTAGTTTTTTTAAGAATTAAACAATAAGGTTAATACCTACTCTAAAATTTTAAAAGCTTTTGTATTTTTTGTCATTATAGTCACATTAAATACAAACGTATTCAAAAAGCATTAGAAAAGCATTCATTACTAAGCATTCATTACTAAGAACATAATAATACTAGGCCTTGTTCAAATCTACTAGTATATCTCTCATAGGTCAAATATGCAGCAATGCCGAAGTAGCTAAGTTAACCTGCAAACAAAACTCACAAAAAAAAATGCAAAAGGAGCAAGTACAAATCCACTGTAGAATGTGTCTCAACACAACTACATGCAGAGGAAAAAAAAAACTCTTCAAAAATTGTTTTTCCTAAACTGTATATTTCTAATCAGAGTATCTAAAGTAAAAACACTGAAGTACTAATTGATGACAATAGAAAAGAACCTATCATCTACTTTTGCAGATTTTGCACATCTTTTGCTGTAGAAATAACAGTTTTAAATTCCTTGGTTGGGGACATTAAAATCACACAACCAATTTGCAGTTTATAGCTTTGGGGTTTTTTTTTAAGTTTGAAATCCCCCATACCACCCATTCTAAGAACAGAACTGCAACTAGATATACCTTAAATTGAACAGTATTGCATGTTAGAACTTGTACTTGCTTTATTATTTAATAACAGAGATCACATATGGATTAGTGTTACAGAGTTTGATATCCAGCATAACTTTTTCTTCTGCCAATTAGGTAAGCAATCACTATAACGATAATCAAGCCTGAAAGACCAGCACCAACTATAATTGGTATTAGAATGGTGTCATCATCCAGCGAACACTCCTGGGCTGTAGGTGAAAAAAAGTGTGTAACAAATAATGAGTATAATCAAAAAAGAATGTCCAAAAGTAAAAGATGTTGATTCAAAAGTCAGAAATGCTTTTACAAGATTAACTTCAAGTGACTAAGACAGGTATATTTTTATGATACAGCTAAAGAAAATTATAGACTGTTCTAGAATTAAAATCCTAAAACTTATTTATTCTTTCATTTGTGTTTGTGTGTATACATAGATATTCATATATATGAATACATATCCATTTATATCTATAAATATACACTTTGTATTATATAGTATATATACATATGTGTATATTTGTGTATGCTTGTGTGGTTGTTTATATTCCAAGCCCTTTATAAAATAGAAGTATTACTTTATCAGAAATGAAGAGAGCAAATCTAGCCCACTTCAAACTAGCCAAATTAATCTCTCAACAGTAGAGTGAATGTCTTTTGGGAAACTGAGATGAGATCAGGAAGATATGATGGGAGTAGAACAGCCAGGCTGGCTCTGGAGTCCCTTTAAGGTAGGGGTCAGCAAACTATAGCCCATGGGCCAAATGTGGCCCCAGAGCTAAAAATGGCTTTTACATTTTTAAATGGTTGAAGAAAAAGAACATTTTGTGACACATGAGAAGTCCATGGAATTCAAATTTCAGTAGTCATAAATAAAGTTTTATTGGAACACAGCCACACTCATCTGTTTGTGTTTGGTCCATGGCTGTTTCTGTGCTACAATGGCAAAACTGAATAGTTATGACAGAGACCAAATGGTCTCAAAGCCTAAAACCTTACTGTCTAGACCTTTACAGAAAAGTTTGCAGATCTCTGATTCAAAATATATAATTTTAGTGGCTGAAAATGTCAAGAAACTGGAACCTCTTACTAATTTGAGCATGTTTACTACATTTCTTGTCAATCTGGTCAGGGCTGGCAGCCCATGGGGGCTATTTTTTCTATTTCTAGAGTCGTCTGATCTTATAAGATCCAATCAACACTCTTCTACCTTACTGCAATTCTATTTCCTCCCCCATACAGACAAGTATTACCTGTACGTTATATTTATAGGTACCCACGGCCAAGATCCTAGTTCCACAAATAGATTACACATTCAATGTCAGAACTAAATGCTGTATATCCCTTTGGGTGACATTTTAAATTTTATGTACATAAAAACAAAAATTCAAATTAGAGCAAGAGCACAGCTCATCTCTATTACAACTGACTAGATAAGCAGGATTGAATTAACACTGTAAATGATTTTAAATTCTAAACATGAATCTGGATCTGATGTTAGGGTAATAATGTAGGGGAGCCCGATAAAGACTCCAAAAATAAAGCTATTAAAGGATCAAAATAATTCAAGTACATAAGCAAAAGAGACAACAGGGAAGATGAATTATTGAAAATAGTTTTAAAGTGTAACTAGCCTCTCTAGTCAAAAAAATGGTAGGGTGAAGAGCACAATTTACTGTGGCCTACGCAAGTCAAACTAGGTATTCAGCACCACTGCAAAAGCAGCTGAATGGCTCACAGCATATTCACTTTTAAATACAGCTTCCACATTTCCTACTAAACCACAGAATTGTTAAAAAAGGATGTGGATTACTGGAATAGCTCTGCTCAGCAGAGTTGTGATCCACAAATCCCCAATTTTAAATAACGGGCTTAAAAGGACAAGTCAATTAAGGCATTTTATGTTTTTTCTTCAAACAAATTTTAATTTTGTAATGCCAAATATGTTTCATATTCACATGAACAATTATAATGAGCTCTTCACAAGGGTTTCATTAAAAATCTAATAAATACCATTATTATTAGCCGTGAATAGATCTTCAAAAAGCCTTACTCACACTGGCACAAGCTTTGAAAACCCTCCAAATCATTTTGGCTGGCAAAAACGTAGTTCATGATATTTGAGGCTTTGCTACTGCTCTTTATCTTTTGTCTTAACAAAATCAGCCCAAATTGCCTTCATTCAGGTATGAAAATGTTTCCAGCGAGAAGATGGCCCCAAGAAGGCTGATACACGTTGTTCAAAGCTGCTGCTCCCAAGTGCCATCCTCGCCCCAAACTAAAACCTATACCTCAAGTAAAGCTCACTTACAGCTTATTTTAGTCTTTATTTTTAAGAACTTGGTTTCAAATGGTTTTCAGATTATGGAAACATCTAGTTTGAACAAAATGATGAGCCAAATACAGTTATACAACTTGCTCAAGGCTATGAGAACTCTACAACAGAGAGGTAAATTCATATTTCTTTATTTCCACGAATCAAAGGAAAAGCCCCCATCAGTCAACATAAGAACATAAATTATTAATAAAGTTTGCTTGATTCTTACCTGTAGAATACTTTCCTTCCTTCACATTGAAAGGCTGAACCCTTAGATCAAAGGTATTTATCTGAAATGCTCCAGACACTGAAACAGTCTGCTCTTTGTTGCACATATAAGAACTTCCCAGGGGGGCATCCCAGTAGCTAAGATTGTTATTTGCAATGCTGAAAACTTAAAAGAAAAGAAATAGGTTAGTAACTTCTATCAACATCAAAAATGGAACAGTTCTCAGAGTTTTTCAGTGACATATGGGAGCTTGGGGGACAGGGTCTACTCACAAAAAGCAATTTTTACCATCACTAGATTCCCTTATCTTTCTCTAGATTTACCTGTAGTCTAAAAATCAGTCACATCCTTAACTATTATCCACCATACTTTGAAAAGAAGGGATACTGCAAAACACAGAACACCATAGTTCTAAGTAACTGATTTTAAGTTGTGGTCAATACATAGCATCTTCTGTTCCATTAAATAAGGCACCATTTGGTAGCAAGGCCATCATAGTTTCTATGCCTTCAGGGTAACCCACACTCTTTTCTCCCATTCGATTGCTTTGCTTACCAGAGCCATTAGCCAAATACATGCTGATATCCACTCCTTTCAGATAGAATCGGTTTTCATTTTTCTGTTTGAAAAAGAGCTTCCAGTTAATCAACTTCACAACTGTCTACAGGTAAAGTTAATATCTACAGGAGAAAAGCAATCTAATACTATTATTACACGGAAGAACCATGCAGTAGAATAAACTGCAACTATGTAAAAGAGAGCTTAAAATGTGACAGAAACCCTTTCCTCTGTATTTCATTTCCAACTTTTGGCCCACAGGTGTAGTCATGTGGTTCATAGCCACTTGATGATTCATCCCCTTAAATGTATTTCTCCTGTCACTTGCCCTCTGCACCTCTAGCCTGGATCACAATAGTCTCTTAACTGGGTTCCCTGCCTTTAGGCCCTCCCAGTTCTAATCTTTCCATCTCAATGCTATTACCTCTCCCTCCCTCCCTCCCTCCCTCTCTCTCTCTCTCTCTCTCTCTCTTACTGGAGTCAGAGTATCACTCTGTCACCCAGGCTAGAGTGCAGTGGCATGCTCATAGCCACCACAGCCTCGACCTGCTGGGCTCAGACGATCCTTCCGGGCTCAGGCGATCCTTCCGCTTCAGTCTTCCAAGTAGCTGGAAGTACAGGCATGCACCGTCACCCCAGCTAATTTTTTTTATATACTGTATAGACGAGGTCTTGCCATGTTGCCCATGCTGGTATCGAACCCATAGGGTCAGGCAGTCTTCTTGCCTCCGCCTCCCAAAGTGCTAGGATTACAGGCATGAGCCACCGTGCCTGGCCTATTAACTTCCTAAAGCAGTCATCTGATCAGCCAGTCATTCTAATCATTTGAATGCTAATGCTCTAGGGAGCCAGCAAAATGAAACAGACTTGGATCCTGCCTGCACTCTGCTTGCTATCTGCCAGGGAAGATAAGATAAATACATAAATAAATAACTGTATTGCAAAAAACAAAGCAAGGAGTTATGGAAATAGATAAATTACTTCCAACTATGGGAGGAGCAAAAGTACTGCCAACTTAGAAATAGGGCATTAGTATTGGGTAGGATTCCATGGGGAAGCAAGCAGAAAAGGGGTATTAGAAAGGGCGACGGCACAACTAAAGGCAGTCAGAAAATAAGCATATTCACAAGTATTTATGCTAGCATTTGAGAACTTACTAAGTGCCAAGCACTGTTCTTAAAACTTTACATATGAGGCTTCACTGAATAATTGCGATACTCTTATGCAATAGGTGTTGTTATCATCTCCATTTTGAGATGGAAGCACAGAGGTATTAAGTGGCTTCCCCTAAGGCTCTACAGTTAGTAGTCAGTGAGCTGGGATTTAAACCCAGGAAGTCTGGTTGCAGAGTTTACGTACTGATTATTACTATGCTTTCCCCCCTGGCAAGATGTGCAGAGGGGACAGGGTGAGGGAATCATAAGGTTCATGAAGAGAAAGTGAAAAACACACAGGCTGGAAATGCAGGCTACGATGCATGCGGAAAGAGAGGGCTGAACTACCCAATCATGGAGTTTAGATGTTACCTTGTTGGCAAACAGATGAAGGTTTCTGAAGAAGAGCCGTGCCTTAGGAAGATTAAGCTGATGAAGAACACTAAGGGGAGTGAGGAAGAAGAGTGACCAGGTAGGAGACTGTTTTAACAGTCCAGGCAAGAGGTAATGTGGACTGGACCCAGAACAAAGGTAATGGAAAATAAAAGCTAGGGGACAGACTTGAGAGAAATGTCAGGAGGAAGCAAAAAGGACTTAACACCCTCATCAAGTCCTTCCTCTGCTTAGGCAATGTCTTCGCTTGGGATTCAAAGTTCCCCACAACTTGTCCCAAGTACTTTTCCATACTTTCACTAAACATGCCACATGCCTCTCTCTCCAAGCTGGTCTTGATTATGCTCCTTTATCCAGGGATAACCTGTACTTTTCCACTTACTCCTTTTATCTCCTTATGTACAAATCTGACCCATCCTTGAAGGTCCAGTTCAAATGCCATCTCTTCCATTAAACCTTCCTGACTCTCTTCCAGCCAGAATTAACCTCTTCTACGCTCCTACAGTACTCTGTACTAACCACTGGTATGGCACTCATCCCATTTTGTATGTATCATCCACAGTACTCTACTGCCCACAGAAACAAGTTCAAACGCCTTGGCATGGCATTCAGGCCTTCCACCAAAATGGCAGTTATCTGCATATTTCTCTCTGCACCACTAAGCTGTAGGCACCTTAAGAACAGAAGCTTTCTTCTTCATATCCCACAATATCAGCCCGCATATTACACACACGAATTATATAAGCTTTCCTAAGAAACATCCCTCATGACAGGGTTGAAGGTAATACGAGTCCCCCCACCCCACCGAATTCTGATGACACTGCAGGTGTTTCTTGATTTTTCAAAGTGCCTATGGCATAGTTAAAATGTCACTATTTTGGATTACATTTGTAAATAGTTTGCCAAGCAAATTAAATATTGTAATTATTAAACACTTCCTCATTGAGAATCAGAAAAAACCATGCTCCTTTTTGGAGCCTACCACAGCTAGAAAACTCAAAATTACTAAAAAGGGAATGAACTTAAAATATCTTTCCTCATTCTGATTGACCATAACCCTATGAGACAACTTAAAAGAGAATGTGCCTAGAGAGGCCTGCTTTCACCATATTGAAGAGGACAAGTTCAATTAGATATTTTTCATAGTAATTTGCTGGTCATTATGTACTAAAACAGAGGAATTATTTGAACAATGGAAAAGGGAAGAATTCTGTAAACATTTCTAAAATATAATTGACTAATTTAACCCTTCATTACTCAGCAAATATTCTATAGAGAAAAAAAGGCTTTAGATTCAAGATAAGTTCAGATATGAAATAACAATACAGCTACTTTTGATATATCAGATATTGAGACTACTTCCCCATTCCTGAATACAGTAATCTGATTTAAAAGCAGAATTGGTTTTTATCCAATGATATAACAACTCTTAGTTTGAGAACTGCTGGTAGCTCAACATTTTCCCTCACCTATAGCTATCCCTATTCCATCATTGCCATTGCTACAACATGTACACATATACACTCTCACAAAAAAAGTTATGGGAATACTACAAGAATTGCTAAAACAACCTGGAAAGGTATTCCCGAATATATGCTCTGTTTTTAAAAGACATCTGTGAGAGATTATGGTACAATGAGAGCAAATTAAACTTAATTTAATCTGTTCAAACTCGTGGTTATGACATATTTGAAAAATGAATTAAATTTTAAAAATTTTTCAAAAAGAAAAATTAATTATGAGAATAACTGATTCTAAGGTGGAAATAAAGGTCCCCGATGATTAATTTATGTTAGCAAGATGTAAAATAGGTATGCTTAACTCAAAATCTGTTTAGGTTTCAACTCTTGATACAAGCATGAACAACAACAAAAACTGGCATACTACAATTATCAACTATTCTAATTAATATATGTGCTTAGACAGAGCCTTGTACAAGGTAAGTACTCAAATGTTAGCTATTTTTATTACTGATACTTTTACAAATAGCATGGCTTTCTAAAGTTTTAACATACTGTCACAGAGAAACATGACATTGTTTAACCAATAATAAAGAAAATTATTATCATGGAAATTACTTAAATATGGTTAGATTAGACAGTTTTTTTGATGAGTTAATTCTTGCACCTACTCTAGAGTCTACGTAATGGCAGAATGACCACTCTTGGTGAGCATTAATTAATACAAGAGCCCAGTCCACAGACCACTGCAGAGACTCTGAGGGATGACTCGGAATCAATGGACTAACACTTTCATAAAATAAAAATAAAATAAAAAGCTAAATATCAGCTGGGTGTGGTGGCTCACGACTGTAATCTCAGCACTTTGGGAGTCAGAGGCAAGAGGATCCAAGGGTTCGAGACCAGCCTGGGCAACATGGCAAGCCCTTATCTCTAGAATAAATCAAAAAATTAGCTGGCATGGTGGCGTACACCTGAGGTTCCAGCTACTTGGAAGGCTGAGGTGGAAGGATCACTGAGACCAGCAGGTTGAGGCTGTGGTGGTTGTGAGCGCGTCACGGCACTCCAGCCTGAGCAACAGAGTGAGACTCCTACTCAAAAAAAAAAAAAAAAAGCTAAATATCTACCCTCCCCATCCCCCTCACAACTATTTAGACTTTCAGATGTGTTTCTAAGAGAATGAAACTAACTTTTGAAAAATCTGTTACTCACCATGGCAAAGACAAAGTCAAGATGCTTAATGGTGCTGCTATTCAGCCTAAGTAGAGCAGTTTGAGAATGGCAGCTGCCTGTGAAGTCAGTTGTACTAGGGTTGATGTTAATAACTGAGGAAACCTTGGAAGAAGAAGAGGGGGGAAAGGTACAGGTTAGTTACAAAAGGTGACAGCAAAGCCTTATACTTTAAAAGACTAACTTTAGTGTAGAATAAAAAAAACCGTTTGGACACTTAAGTTCACGGTGTCTTACTTTCAAAGTTGGCACAAGCCCTCAAGTTATGACTCAGAAGACTTAAAAAAAACTAGAGGGAAGCTTCTTCCATAATGAGCCAAATGAAAATACACATTTTTATGGAGCACAGAAGTCATCTGTCTAGCTTGTTTAAGTCACAGCATCCTGGAAGTGGGATTTGTTCACTGGCACTCCCTCTGTAGCTTCAGTGGAACATTGCAACTAGAAATGCCATCCTGTACTTAAAGCATGTCTACATGATTTGAGTCATCAAACAGCTGGAGGAACAGATAGCTACAGTGTTCCCATACACCAACCTACAAAGCATTTTGGATCAAAGCATGAAGAAGTTCTACTTTAAACAGACTGAAATAAAGATAAACTGTTTGTACTCTGATCTATTAATAGTAAACAGAATCTAAAACCCAAAGAGTTCTTTAAGTTACTAGGTGGTTTTTGTTTGTTTTATGTTTTGTTTTGCTGGCTAAGACAACACCTTGAAAATAACATGAACTCTTTATGGTTGTAGTAACTCCTAACTAATCAAAGCTCATCAAGTCAACATCAAATCCCCATTTAAAACTGAATCATTCTAGTAACACTACCCTTGGGCTGAAGTTAGGATATACAGTGTTTGAAAGGAAATACAAAAAAGATGCATGGATAAAAACAGACAACTATACCTTATCCTGAGTGATGTTCAGCTGCAGCCCCATGGTAGCCAGCAGACAAGTACCATTGCCATTACTAACTGAATAGTTTCCAATCTCTGGTTTTTCCTTTGGAGTGGGTATTGTAGTAGGAGATGGCACAGTGGTGTGAATGATGGGTGACACTGTTGTGGAAGTGTTATCTTTATCGCACAGATACTCTAAAACAAACAAAGATAAAAGAAACTAAAGTGGATATTTTATTAATTCATAAGGCCAGGAAAGAGCAAAATATTTCTCACAACAGAAGTCCAAGAGGGTTGCATTAGGGGAAGGGAATGCTTTGTTAGTATATTTTAAACTAAATGAGTCAGAGGTTCTCAAACAGCTACTTCATATATAGACTATCTCAACAAGTTATGACACAGCAGACAAACTTGGGACACATCCAAACGCTTTATCTACTCACACATGGCTGCACACTCATCTTTTTCAGACCCTTAAACCCTTTATTCCCAAAGAACTTTGCCTGCCTCTGATGTGAAATGCAGAGATTTAAGTCTGAAAATGTTTCACTTCTATGGCGCCTGCCTTCTTCATTCCCATAAACAACCACTATAAGGAAGGATATTGTTTACTAGGAAAAAAGTTTATAAATCATTAAAAAGTTTAAATACAAATGAATCTTTTATTTTCATTACCCCTAAAGCAAATCATAGGCATTTCAACTACTTCTTAGGAAGTCTTAGTACTTTTCCAGAAATCGTGAATGAGAAATTATTAGATTTCCATAAAGCTACATAAAAGTTATAAAAGTCAACTTAGAAATTCAAGATTAGAACAGAGAAATCTAATTTCTAAGCTTTGGTCTTGAAATTGCTAAACAGCTGATAATCAAGCAATTTGTGGATCTAGTTAAACAAAAATTAGGTTTTAACAGCTACAAATATTATAGATATAGCTCTTTAAAAGACCATTCTGGCAGTTTCTTTTGCCCGTGCCAACTCTGGCATGCCTCCCTTTCTTTTCTTCCTTCTTTCTCCAATAAACTTTGTTTCAAAAAACATTCCATAACATGTATATCATAAACTTTAAATTGCAAGTTCCACAAGAATAAGAATTGCTATTATTCACAGAAATTTTAGAACCTCGTGGAAGCTACAAATAAGCCTTAATATATAAATGCTTTCAGACAAAAACTTGAATGAAAGCTACCTGGTATGCTCTAATCTTAAATTAGGACTCAAGTATAGAAATACATATTTTAAGTACTCACCTTTTGTGCTCACTGTGCCATTTGGGACAAAAGCTTGTACAAGAACATTCCAATAGTTTTGGACAACATCATGATCTTCTAAAGTTGACAAACTATTGCATCTAAAGATTTCATTCAATGGAATCCTGACTGCCACACGGTCATGAAAAGTAACAACTCCTATAAAATAAGATTAGCACTGGTTGTTTCCAAGAAGGTAGAAGAAAAGGGATAATATAAATATATTTGTATAGGCTTTCTTCTCTTTCTGTCTGTCCCATCCCAGGTCCAAAGTGGCAAATGAAAGGGCAGGCTCAAGGGAATCACGAATTGACTGTGGCTGAAACACAGGAGTCAGAGGGGAGAAGTTAAGAAGGAAAGACAAGTTGCAGGTGGTCACATTTTGAAGCATCTTCTACAATCTAAGGATGTTGGGCTCTTTTGGTTAGCAGTGAAGGTCTACCTTCATTTTTTAAAGCAGGAAATGACACATATATAATTTATTTTAAGGAAGATAACAAATTTGTAGGGGATAGGCAGGGGAGAACACTTTTCAGGGAAGCTGGTTAGAAGGCTGATGGCCTGATTAAGGTGAAGGATGAGGGAAGATTGTCTAAACTAAAATGGTTGGGGGTAGTAGGAAGAGAGCAAAGAAGCCAAACTGAAAACACCTATCTAAGGTAGAATCAACAGGACTTAGTGATTATGCATAAGGTAGCAAGGAAGATGGGTTAATCATGGATTTTATAGTAAATATTTTTGTGCTACTATCGCAAAGCAAGTTATATAAACTGTAATGAGCATATGGAACCTCTTCTTGTATGAAATTGAAAGACCATTCCATTTCAAGAAATCTTCAGAATATGAAAGTAGTAGTGACAGCCACTCTGCACAGAGTTTTTATTTGCATGTCTACAGTAAAACTTCAAAAGATTCTGCTCACACTTATCCACCTGAATGGCTTAGCTTCTAACGGAGAAGTAATAAGAAAGGAAGGTATTCAAGGTTCTTAATATAGGCCACCTTCTGTGCCTTTCCAGCATGTAGTAAGCAGCCACTTAATGCTGTCTTGGCACCCCCTAATGGTCAAAAGAATTTTTAAAAAACCAATTAACTTTTCCCCAAAACTGTTTTTCACCATTAAAAGAAAGCGATTGGAAGTAGTGGAAAACTGTCAGGAGAGGGAGGGGCATACCTCATTAACAAGGGTACCTGCAAGATTAATGTTTATTTAACTAACCCTGAATTGTACCCCACATCTTTATAATAAATTAATTATTTTTTAAAAAATGAATAGATACATGAACTGACTGTATAATAAATAGACCTCAAAAACAAATGAGTGAAAAAACAAGTTGCAGACACATATTGGAGTTAGACTATGAACAAGTTTTTAAATTATGTATTGTTTATGAATATGTACTTATGTAGTAAAATATAAACACACAGACAGGAAGGTTACCCCTCAAATTTGTGAAGGTGGTTGGCTCTCAGCAAGCAGAGAGAAAAATGGGTCTGAGGAGTGAAGACAAAGGAAACCTCAAGTGTATCTGCAAAATTTTATTTCTTCAAGCAAATAAAAAGATGACATACCAGTTTGGGCTACATGGTGAGACCTCATCTCTACAATAAATCAAAAAGGCCAGGCACAGTGGCTCATGTCTATAATCATTGCACTTTGGGAGGCCAAGGTGAGAGGATTGCCTGAGCCCATAGGTTCAAGACCAGCCGGGACAACTTGGCAAGACCCCATATCCACAATAAATCAAAAAATTAGCCAGGCATGGTGGCGGATGTCTGTGGAAGGCTGAGATGGAAAGATCACCTGAGCCCAGCAGGTCAAGGCTGCGGTGGCTGTGAGCATGCCACTGCACTCCAGCCTGGGCAACAGAGTAAGACTCCAACTCAAAAAAATAAAAATAAATAAAAAATAAATCAAATCAAAAAATTGACACATGCCTGTAGATCCCGCTATTTGGAAGGCTAAGGCAGAAAGATCACCTGATCCCAGCAGGTCAAGGCTGTGGTAGCCATGATCATGCCACTGCACTCCAGCCTGCGCAACAGAGTGAGACTCTGACTCAAAAAAAAAAAAAAAAGATGACACAAACATTTAAAAATGACATTTATTAATTTTGGGCAACGTATACATGTGGGTCTGTTATATTATTTCCTGTACTTTTCTATATTTTAATCATAAAAGTTTTTTTTAATGAATGCAGTAGCGCAATCTCAGCACTTTGAGAGGCAGAGGGAAGAGGACTGTCTGAGTCTCAGGGGTTTGAGATCAGCCTAAACAACATGGCAAGACCTCATCTCTATAATAAATTATAAAATTAGCCGGGCGTGGTGGTGCACGCCTGTTGTTCCAGCTACTTGGAAGGCTGAACAGGTCAAGGCTGCGGTGGCCATGAGCGTGCCACTGCACTCAGCCTGGGTGACAGAGTGAGATTCTAACTCAAAAAAAAAAAAAAAAGAATGCAGCAGCTTCAAAGTTATTTCACAATTATCAGATACCTAAAAAGTAAATTAGTATTTTGAGACACTGAATTATTTCAAAACCAATTATCAACAGTCCACTTAAGGAAGCCATTTTAAATTCCAAATAGTTTCAAATATCTTATTTACATCAAAGTTATTAATAAAAAAGTAATCCTTCCCTTGTTTAAAAAAAAAAGGGGAAGAGAGAAGTGTTAACATTTTAGAGTCTCCAGTTTTCCTACCCAAACATGTCAGATTAAATCCCTCTTCCTCCTATTACTGCTTCCCCATTGGTCCAAGCATTGATTATATTAGCCCTTAATTGCTATTAACAGCCTCTCAAGCTGGCATCTCAGTCTGCAGTCTCCTCACTTCTAAGTTAATCCTACAAAATATTCTACATAAACTATTGTCTCTGCTTCTGTTACATCGTTCTTATGCTTAAAAAACCTAAAATGATTCCCCAGTCCCTACTCCATCAAGCTAAACGTCTTTCCTTGGCTTCCAAGGCCCCCTATAATGTAGGCCCACTGCCCTGAGCCAACTTTATTTTCCTTTTATTTTCCTTCAGCTACACACACAGTCTTTATTTTAATCAGGCAGTTCTCCAATTACTGTTGCAGGTACTATGCTTCCCCCTGCTGGAAACATTCTGCTCAAAATGCTCCGCTTATTCAAATTCTACTATTAGCTGTGTTTCAGCTGAGTCCTATTTCTCTACTAAGCTTTCTCATTCTTCCAATGCACACTGATACTCCCTTCTCTCTAATCAGGGACACTTACAGGGATGCCTTTAGATCAGGTGCTCTCAATCCACAGATGGGCTCAAAAACTCTGTTCTGTATGCAAAGTTTACTGTGTTCTTTTTCTGTTTTGAGAGAGAGGGCCTAAAGTTTTCCTCACAGTCAGAAAATATTTATGAACCTTCTACTCCCAAAACTGTTTTTCACCATTAACAAAAATGGATATATGAACTGACTGTATTATAAATAGACCTCAAAAACAAATGAGTGAAAAAACAAGTTGCAGACATATTGGAGTTATACCATGAATAAGCTTTTAAACTATGTATTTTTTATGAACATGTACTTATATAGTAAAATATAAACACACAGACAGGAAGGCTAAACAAAAACACAAACAATAAAAAATCAGAGATCAATGTTTTCCAATTATTCCACATAACCTAGAAACACAACTGGTCTCCCCAGCTAGTTTTTAAAGAGGGAGAGGGGGAGGGAGAGGGGGAGGGAGG